ATAGTCTTTATATATATGAGCTGATACACACTTATAGTGATTGGAAACATACAGATCATACATACAGCATAAGTAAACCTTAACCAAATTTAGAGGGACATTGCAAAGCCCTTATAATGTAATAAATACTGTCTGGTAAAATGATAGAACTTAGAAAATGGTATGCAGTGGAATGATAAAACTGTACACGACTGTCATACCAGATCATGGTGGTTATCTTCTTTTACATTGTTGAGTTTTGTTTTTCCTCTAGAACACAGTATTGGTTATCTACATGAAGCCACTCTCAGAGAAAACTTAACAAAAGAAAGCCATTTCTGTGTCAAACAGAAGGTCAACATCTTGCATGCATTACTTTAGAAGTAGTAAAAATGTTAAATTAGTGAATAAGAGGGAGAAAAATCATAAACTTCAACAACCGCATGCAGCAACAATGTTTATAATGTGAACAATTCCATAATGCTTCCAGTACCTCCTGATCTCACACCCTCACACAATCATAAGGCATGCCCCATTTAACTCCTGCACAACCACACTTTCAATGGCAGATACATCCTGTTAATGACTGGTATGGACTCTCCTCTTGTTTACCTTCATATGGTCAATACATGTGTAATGAAACCTGTGAATAAAACAAAAATAAATCCACTCATTAGGCCTTATTTTGGTTCACAAGATATGTATAGTGGCTCATCTTGTGATTTGTGGCCACAGGCTTATCAAACATACTGATCGTCAGGCTTCCTCTTAATAATTGAATACTCACTCAGGGGACAGGCTGCTCAGTTCGTATTCCTCTGGCGGAGGTTCTTGTCTTTGTGGTTGTTAGTGGAATTAGTTTTCCTTTAGCAGGAAGCAAATTACACAATCAGTTCACACGTCACACAGAACTGTAACTCTAGTCGAGACAAACATTCTACTTCTGTTTAATCATTGCCGTCATTATTTATTATAAAGACACACAATTTGCTTCTTCTCCGTTTCACCTCATAATTTGAGAATTTTGATTAAAATATATTTTAAAAATTGGAGTTTAGCATATTGTCTGGTTTAAGGGGCTGTCCACAGATTTTACACACAGTCTGTGTTGTACAATGTCTTCTGACAAACGTTGAAAGAAAATAACCCTGAGGATGTTATTAGAATTATTAATTGGAATCAGTGATGAAAAGAATAGGCAGCTACAGTTGTAACAAACATTAATGGTAATGTTAATCATTACATCACATTTCACTTTTTACAGTGGAGGAGCAAACCAGACATTTGTTTTTTATTATTTCTTGCAGTATTAATAGTTATATGGACATTTTATTGTTTAATCATTTACAGCCTCTGACAACAAATCTAGCTTCTTCTGTGAGGAGATGTTTTATATTAGTATTATTACAATAGTTTTATTATATTTATTATCATTAGATATCTGTTTATACAGGAAATAAATGGTGTGTGGACTAAACTGCTAACCAATTTTTTAACAAACATTTATGTCCTGCTTATAAATATAGGGATTTTAACAAAGAGCATCATAGATTTCCCAATCAGAACAATTTAAAGTATCCATGTCTGACGTCAAAATACTTATTTCTGTTTTACTTAAAAAGCAGTAAAAACCAACACATATTGCTCCAAGTTATTTATGACCCAGATTTGGGGGGGTAGATAGATCATGAGCTCTACAGACAGTCAGCAGTAGGTGCATGATGGTAAGCTACAACAAAACACATGAATGCAGGAGGCTACACAGAGAGAAGGTAGTGAAGGTAAGAGGTTTATACTTACACTGGTCCAGCTGGGTCATCATCTGATGCAACAAGGAAAAATATGGAGAAATGAAGACGAACAAAATGAAATAATCGCAAGAATGTAGAACAAGTTGACAAGTGACAGAGTTTTTTTAAATAAAGCGTAAACACATATTGCATTTAGCTCTGAGCCTTATGAGGAGTTCTCCTTTAGCTCTACTGTATGTGCAGCCTGCGTCATGGAATGAAAATGCAGCCTACAGATGAAATAACAAAACAGTAAACAACGCATCGTCATGCCGCAGCAAAAAACAACCCGGTGAGGTCATTAACAAACACACAGAGTGCAGTAAAAATCCAGCACAACAACACACTGAAACACATGTGCAAGTGAGATTGATTACATACAGAGGAAATTCAAATGGAAAAAAAAATAAAAAATACTGTTGTCATGCAAAGACAAGCAGCATCACAAAAACATCTGTTCACTCAGAGATCAATGAGAAACTTTACTGGACGTAATAATTCAAAGCCGTGTGGGCAGAAATGACTGATGACCACAAAATAGGTTCAGTTCTTTACAGCAGCTTATTGCATGCCATTTCACTGCTGTAGCAATTCTGAGTTTGTTGCTAGAAATATTTGGAACAAAGAAAAAGAAAAACTGTAAAGCTGAAGATGGAGGAAGCTTAACAGAAGCGTGTCCTGTGCTGTGAACAGGAAACAGAAGAGGCTGAATGCTTATTGGAATTCATGACGCATGCAAAGTCTCACACTTACCACAAACATGATTTAGGTTATGCGATTTGGTGGAAAAGGCATACATTAAAACAATCTGTAATCAGAAGCCAGAATCTAATTCATGAATTATTGACACAATTCACAGTCTACATCTGTTTTGTGACGTTGTAAAGTTGATCAAAATGAGTAAAACACTTCAAGCTCAGCAGGAGTCCATCTCTGACCCTGTAATGATCCATAATGGTGATACATTTCTGTGCAGTGACTGTCACAGAGAGCTGTCTGTCATTCACTGCATGTTGGGTCTAATCAGCGTGTGACAACATCAAAAGTCTGTTTGAGAGGAAAAGGTCACCCAAATACCATTACTGCATGATTTATGATAGAGCTGGTCCCTTGAAAATGAAATACTCAGCAGTATTAAAGGAAAAAAAGAATCCCGGGATGACGAACACTGGTTGTGTAGCTAAATGGCGCATCGTGGTTAAGCTCGCAGCAGCTTGGGGACAGAACAAGGTCCTTGGAAAGTTGTTAATAATTGAAACTGTCCACCGCCGCAACATTGCAGTATCATATATCTCATGAATATTAAATGGATGAAATTGTCTTGACAAGGTGCGACCTCTTGCAACAGTGTCTGCCTGTCGGGTCAACCTTGCCAGACTGAATTATTGAATGCGGGCACGGCACAGAGTCAGGTGACTCTGTTGGTGTCTCTGGTAAAAGGCATTAATTACATTAAAGAAGTCAAAATTGTACAATAAAGTTGGTTTCTGTTCAGGAATATTAAAAACAGAGGAATAATAAAACAATTCAAGACACCACTTGCTGGTGACTCACCGTCTTGCAGATCCTCAGGCTTCTTGCGCTTCTCATAAACAACGATGATGACAACCAGGATGATGATCTCGGCCAAAACTCCCAGGAGAGGCCATAAGGGGGCCAAGTGGCTGCGGACCCTCAGCACAGACTTCTCGTCGCGGCTGCTGATACTGTTGGTGGCGTTGCAGTGGTACTCGCCTGGATCGAGGCTAATGTCCAGGTTGGTAATGTGGAGCTCGGTGTAATTGTCTCTGCTGCTGATGAAGAAGCGTCCAGTTGAGTTGTCGATTTCCTACAGAGGGACATGGACAGAGTTGCTTTCACTTTTTTAGTTTAGATCAATCATTCTGTATCTGTATCACAGGAAAATGTTGAAATAACAAAGTAGGTTATGAGATGGCTTATTGAACTGTTGCTCCTCTACTTTTACAGTTCCAATATGTTTCATCGATTTTATTTGTTAACTTTTAACTCTTTATTTTATTGTTGGATATCCTGTTATGGTTTTTCCCTTGTAAAGCACTTTGTAACTTTCTTTTAAGTGATGTTGTATAAATAAAGTTATATAAATGCATCATAATTAAATCAAATGTAAAATATTTGCAAGATTTTACATTTGACTTAATTTCATATTTCTAGGCAAGAATATTTACAGTTTTTAGGGTAAGTGTGGTTTTAATTGAATCCTTCAAACAAGAATAACATGTGACACTGTTAATTAGTTATAGAAAAAAATTTCAGTATAAGGCAAAGTGGATTTTAACTTCTCAACCATCAACTGACGCAACTTTTCCCTGATGATGAGTCGTCGTGGAATTGCAGAGAACAATAGCAAATATACAGTTTTGTTAGTTCAGTTTTTTTAATACAAGTGTGCTACAAAATGAAATTGTGATGATTCTGTTGGTGTTTTGTTGTGGTGTCTCTCCCCCTCCCCTTTTCTGTTTTTCTCAGCGCAGGCTGTGTGTGTGGCAAGGGGGCGTGGCTGGTTCCTGGCTGCAGCGACGAGGCGCACCTGATCTCTATCACCTCATCATCCCCTCAATAAAAGCCTGGTCCTGACTCCACTCCTGTGCCAGATTATTCCGTCCCGTCCGGTATCTTCATGTGCTATCGATGTCCTCGACTCCCGTG